AGCGAAATATAAACTGTACTTGTATTGAATAAACATATCTTCATAAGATTTCAGTAATCTTTAGCGTTCGTTTACACTTTATCGGCCGACATTTCCTTACTTGTGCATTATTGTTCGCATGTGACTTATTAAGGTTTGGGCCAAGAGACTTTCTCGCCCGAGAGCGCGCAAACGACCAGAACACCTTGCATCCTTGGGCGCGGCCGACAACTCGTCCCGGCAAACACTTTTGCTTCGCGTTTATCATAGGCTTGTATTAGGGCCAACGAAGCTGAAACCCCACTCTTTTTTAGATCTTTGGGACTCAGCGAGATTTTTGAGGGCCCAAATTATCACATCGATCAATTGCTGAAGTCTAGCAGCTGTGTGATACGGACGAGTTGTCCTGGATACTGTGCGCTCTAATGCCAATGGGAATCGCGCCATATGACCGCCTGCCCTTTCTACAATGCAATCATGATTTCCTCTGGTCGCCTGCTTCTTCGTTATACCAAAGATATTAAGGTCATTTTTGCTAAAACCTCTAAAAAGGACAGCTTGGTGTGGTAAAGATACGTTCCATAACCATTTCGAATGACAACACCGTAATAGCATTCTTTTTCTCAAAGGCACGGGTCGCGTAAGATCCTCAGAAAATCTTGTCCGTGGTGAGATAGCAGGATTCCTGAGAATAAGAATCGTGGCTCGCTCGGCGATTCGAGGGTCACATACAAGGGCGCCAGAGTCATCCGTTGGCCGCTGCAACTGCTGCCGTTCTTACAGAGCATAGTGGGGTCTGCGCCCTCTTGTACGACGTGCTCTTTCGCATCCTCCCTTTTCTTGCAGGCAGTAGGTCTTTCCGCTGTACCATGGCGATCCTCACAAAGATAGGCAAAACCTTAGCTCCTATGCTTTTCTGGATTCCTTGTTTTTTTTTTTTTTCACTCAGCTGGTGGTCTCCTTGTCCAGCTCTTGTTTTCATATTTTAGTATCAAATAACACAGCCCACTTTTTACACTCGTACACATGCCTTTGAAAGAAGATTCCACGGTAAGTTCGGAGGTCGAAGAAGGGTAAATATAATGTGTAGTCGGAAGGCAGACAAGCCCCTAACGACGCGGTACAATGCTCGCGTTGCGCAGCGAAGAGTATGCCCCTGCGCCCTTGCAAGGCCATATCCGCGCCGCTCGCATATGCCTCGAACATCTGACTCTAGCCGTTTAGATGAGAGAGTGTTACTGCTGAAGAGGGCAGCACACCGATGAGTGTCACATGAATGCAGAGGCCAACGAGCATAGAAAGAGGTCCCGCTCTTCGGGCTCTGACCCTTCCCGTCTTATTGCTTTATCTTCACCCCTGCACAACTGACCGTCCTTATTTCGAAATTAAAAAATTTATATTTAGCACTTATTCAGTGCTATTATTGATAATATGGCACCGGGGCGAAAATGAGTTCGCTACCAGGTCGCTGAAAAAGGGTGAAATTGCTTTCGATGACGTCACGAACTCGGAGGTTCAAGATTGGGCGAAAAGCATGCTGAATGAGTCTCAGCACCTTCTTCCAAAGGCTAACACTTTGGACAATTGTTGAAAATTAATCATGAACCGGCGACACGGTACAGATTTGTGATGGACTACCTAGTAACTACACTGTAAACAGAGAATAGGCCTAGATAGAAAAATTGATCAGATCAAACAGGGTTTAGTGCTCCGCTTTGATCAATTCCTGTACGATCGTAAGCAAAAGCTGGCCTGCCTGTCCCCCCGATTGAAGAAAAAAAAAAGGCTTCAAAAAGAAAAAACTGCGGAACCCCTAGAGTGCGAGGCCGACGCAATGATATACCTTCACGCCTAGCAGGGCCGTTTCGCGCTGCTCGTCCCTCTGTACGCACCTTTAGAAGTGACCCCCTCGCCCCGTCTTTGACTCTAGCGCACTTAGCAGAGGAACGCGTTGGCGTGAAGAGTTAAAGCACGAATTGAGAATCGTATCGAATCAACAAGAAGGGGTCCCATTTGTCCGGCTGTGGGCCGTTTCTCATAGTTTTTCTTCGTTTCGGCACTACTGACTGCCTCTGGCTTAATTCTAATGGGCTGCCTTCTAATCGTGAACTCCGCCTTTTATGCCTATATACAATATGTAATGAGTTGTGTGTCATTATGGTTAGTTCCACAGTACGGACTTCTCCTACGGGACAGGGTCAACCATCCGTTAGCGGTCGCATTTCTTTTTGGTGATTTTGGCGAAAATGTCGTGAAGGCCAAATATGTACTATAGAAATAGCCGTGATGGGGAGGGGGCGGTAGGGGTAGTGAGGGAAGGTGTCGTATCGGGGGCGGCGCCTTCTAAGTGTTATGGTGGTGATGAGGGGGTCGCATGAAGATCCTCTAGGGGGGGGTCCGCAAAAATTTTGAAAAGTGTGTTCGACGTCGGTTGACCCTGCTACCGGATAACTATACTAACTGCCAATTTAGGCCGATGTCAGACTTTGCGAACCGCGCGCGATTCGCTAGCGTCTGCGGTCGCGTCGGGGCCAGTAAATCACTCAATTGGCTGGAACCGCAATGCGACCGCGAACGCTAGCGAATCGCGCGATTCGCAAAGTCTGACATCGGCCTTAGGAAAGAAGCACGGTCAGCGCTTCAGGTCTCCATATACAAATTGTCGCCAAGTTACTGTCACTGAAGTGTTACGATATTATTCAAAATTCGAAGTGAAACGTGGCATCTATCCACTACTTTACTATGTGGATCGTATACATCAACATGCAACAATCATATTTCAACGGTCTTCCTATGGCATGAATATGGCCCGACCTCTGCTCTTGGCCTTCTCCCAAGTTGCACGTACATAGTAGGTCCAGGTAAGGCACTTTGACCCTCTCGTGAAAGTGTGGAAGCGCCGATCTTCTTTCCTCCACCAGTTATGTCCGTTAGTGTTATTGTTTAGTAAACCTTTTGAACAGTTCTTCCTACAGTTCTGATGAAAACTCTAAGTGATTGAAAAATGCCCCTTGTTGCAAGCCCTGTCTTGTGCACGAGATGGACCACAGATCGCGTTGATGAGCTTCCATCTCCTTTAAATGCTGGTAATTCCGTACAGTAGCTGGTCGATTTCATTTATTTGACGCGTTTGGAATTTTAGCGACCCTAATTTTGGGTGGTTCTGGTTACCATTGAACTGTATGCATAAAACATAGAGGGATAGATTAGTCTGCAGGAAAGATGTTCGCTTAAAACGCTAATAATATAGCTCTACATTTTCTTTAAATAATACATTCCAAGATCGTCACACACACACTGCGTATGCAAGCAACGTCATAATCGAACCAGCGTCGGCGTGGGTGGTCGCGTCGCGGGTGGTCCGACCGATCACCGTGGTGAGAGACTTTCAAAAACTCACTGATTTCAAAACATACCTGGTGGAATGCCAGTAAAGTATTCTCTTGCTTCTATTGGACTTGCGAGGATAATGCTAT